GTCCTTATTATAAGGACCCCAAAATTTTCTACCCTGAATAGTAGGATCCTTATTATAAGGACCCCAAAATACTACCCTAAATAGTAGGATCCTTATTGTAAGGACCCCAAAATACTACCCTAAATAGGATCCTTATTGTAAGGACCCCAAACTACTACCCTAAATAGGATCCTTATTGTAAGGACCCCAAAATACTACCCTAAATAATAGGATCCTTATTATAAGGACCCCAAAATAAGGCACCCCTAATTTTCGGAGACTCCCACATTTACCAGCCGAGGTGAAGCCGCCACTTCCCCAAGCCAGCAGCCCTCCTCGTGACACCTTCGGATGTACTGTTTAGGGTTTAGGGGTTTACGGGTTTAGGGGTTTAGGGTTTAGGGGTTTAGGGGTTTAGGGTTTAGGGTTTAGGGTTTTCGCAAGAGTTGAGCTGTTGAAAACGATCGCACTTCCTCCCCCTGCACCCAACTGTGCCTCGGCCGGGAGAAAGATAGGATTGCCCGAAACTTCGGGAACCTCTGCAAGATACATGCAGAATTTCAACAGCATATATACATGAATACATGCAAACAGACTTTTCACTTACTTACTTACCTACTTACTCACTCACTCACTTACATCCTCACTCACCTACTTACGTACTTAATTATTCCGTACATATGCACTTACTTACTTACATACTTACTTACTTACTTGCTTACTTGCTTACTTACTTATGTACTTACTTACTTGCACTATGAACTTACTGCTTACCTGCTGCCTTACTTACTCACATCCGAATGTAGATGTACATACCCTGGCCCTAGCAGCCCGAGGTTCTTCTGGACTCTGTTGGTGCTCTGGTTCTGCGTCATCATTCCAATGTGGCCACATGGGCTCCAATGTACCCTCCTCCCCTCTTCGCTCAACCTCCTCGCAGGGAGTTGCAAAGGCCTATTTCTGCAAGCCGAAAGGCCCAGGAACACTCCCCCAGCCTCGAACGAGTTTGAATCGCGCTAAGAAAGCGAATCTCAAGCTCGACTCTGAAGTCCCCAGTGACTTCGGGGAAGCCCCGAGCCGGGGACAGGAGTAGGCTAAGATAAGCAGGTACAACCAGGTACAAGGTCAGAGGAATTTCAACCAGGGACTCTGCGAGCCCCGTGCAACATGCCGAGCCCATGGCAGTTTCCACGATGACGCAGAACGTGCTGACCTGAGGAGTCGCAGAAATGGTCCGCAGTGCGTCTCTTGCGAGTACAATTGCCACTAAATTAAAAGACTTGCCCTTAGGCCACGATAGTAATATCTGCAATGTGTACTACAGCATGTACTGTCAATCGCAGGCGATAACAGATACTATTAGAGATGCTACACTGGGGTACTGCGGCATGAGGTATCACGCTCTCGGGCTTCGTTCCTGCTCCTGCCACTGCTGCTTACTGTACACGACTATGAGGACCCTGCTACAACACGACAGTGACGACGACTACTTGGCTACCATGTCCTCTCAATACTCGTTTTTGCTAGTCTTGCTAGCAGCTAGCACAAGTTTGCCTGTCACAAGAACAGCTGCAGGCGCAATTTCACCAGAAAAGAATAAGTCTTGCTTGGGACCGCTGCGACAATCACCACCATGATGAAGTAGTGGAAGGCCTGCGTCGGTAAGGGAAGTTCGGTACATTGGGAATTTGCATTCCGATTGGACGGCCTTGAAAAGGGAAACGCGTAGCCGATGTGATGGCACACATGGTACCTGATATCCATATTGACTTATTAGCCAAGGTGACGGGTGGAGTTATGGTCTCACAGAAGCGGCACAGCCTGCAATGCACACTGAAGCTGCATGCAAAAAACTGTATGTATATATGATCCCGGCTCTCGG